CCTCAGCTCCCCTGCCGCAGCCCTGGGAGGGACCCAGGGGGAGGACTCGCTCCCCAGCAGGAGGGGCCCGGAGAGAAAGGTGCTTGGCTCTGCCCAGAGGGGGAGCGGCTGGAGGCCAGGGGAGACCCCGGGAGAACTCTTGGACCGTCTAGGTCTCCCGGAGCCCTGAGCTCAGCCCTGGATCGGGCTCCGTTTGAGACCCACACACCCTCATCTGCAGCTACCGACCAGCTCCACGCTGAGCTCTCCTGGCCCCCAGGGCTCAGGGAGATGGGCGAACACATTCATTCATTCATTCATTCAGCCAGCAGGGACAGGTCCCCTGTGCCAGACCTGGGGGGGGGGGGGGAGCTGCTGCAGCCCCGTCCCGTGGGGCAGGGGCCGGGGTGCAGGGGGCCCAGCCTGTGCTGTCACTCACCCGGGCTCAGGACGGGAGGCCAGAATGGTTCATCGTCCTGGACGCGGGGCTGGTGGTAGGTGTGAGCCTTCTTGCTCTTCACCAGGAAGGAGCGAGGCATGGTCGGCGTGCGCCCCGCACCTGCCAGGGGAGAGGTGAGCGCGGTGAGGAGGACAGCCTCCCCCTGAAGTCAGAACCCACTGTCCTGGGTTGAACAGTGTCCCCCAAAAGTTCTTGTTCACCCGGACCCTGTGAACGTGACCTTTTTTAGAAGTAGGGTCTTTGCAGATGTGACCACATTAGAGGTTGAACTGGATTGGGGCCGCCGTGTGGAGGCGGAGGCAGGGATTGGAGTGATGCGGCCACAAGCCAAGGAGTCCTGGTGGCCCCCAGAGAGGCTCGAGACACACTCCCTGGGAACCCACGGCGGGAACCAGCCTTGCTGGCGCCTGGGTTCTGGTTCTGCAGACGTCAGAACCTGGGAGAATACCGTCCTGCTGTTTTAAGCCACCTGGTTTGTGGCACTTGGTTATGGCAACTATCAGTCCTAATGCAGGAAATGAGCACACCAACCTCTAGAGCACCCAGGCCGGCCTGCTGCCGCCGCACACCCCGAGCCCCGAGCGCCCGGAGCAGAGAAGGGAGGCAGGGTCTCCGTGTGGGGCGCCCTGCGGGCCACCCCCGGAAGCCGCGCTTGCATCCTGGTTGGATGGGCCTTCAGAGGCCACAGAAAGAGGTGCTCTCAGCCCACGTGGTGGAGCCAGATGCTCGTGGCTTCGCACCCCAGCTCCCCTGCTGCGCAGTTTGGGCCGACCCTTAACCTCCCTGGGCCTGTCCCCTTCTCTGCAGGCTGGGCATCCAGGTCTCAGAGGAGGAGGCCCCCGCCCCCCCCCTCTGGCTGCAGGGGCGATAGAGCCAAGCGCGGGAAAGGGATGGCGGCTGCTCTGAACCACAGCCAGGGCCGGCGATAAGGCGTGGCCGGCAGCCCCTGGAGGAGGGAGATAGGCCAGCGTGGAGCTCTGCCTTCAGAGCAAACCCGGGAGCCTCCAAGGGAGTGCCCCCCGAGCCAGGCAGGAGAGGGACCCCCAACGGTGCCCGGAGCCGCCCAGCGGTGTCAGGAGTTTGGGCAGTGGCCACCCTCCTTGCTGTCTGCCTCAGTGCCCAGCCCAGCATCCTGGGATCGCTGGCAAGAGCGGACCTTCATTTATGACAAACAGGCGTGTGGCGTGCCGGCGAGGCGCCTGGGCTGCAGGGAGCGCTGAGCGCTGGGCCTCTCAGCCCAGGGAAAGGCGCCAGGAGGGCAGGCACCGCTAAGGCCTGTCCAGTCTCATGTCATCCCATCCCGCCCCCAGCCTGGCCCACGGAGTCACGCTCTGAGGGTGGGGATACGCCCTGACGGGCGCAGGGGCCCTGCTGCAGGCCACCCCTCTGGGCTCTGAAATGAGGGGGTGGGACTCGAAGGCTCTGGGGTCTGTCCAGCTCTCAGACTTTTCTTAAATACATTATTTGTATTGATCTCAGAGAGGAAGGGAGAGAGAGATAGAAACCTCAATGATGCAAGAGAATCAGGGATTGGCTGCCTCCTGCATGCTCCACACTGCGGCTGGAACCTGGGGCATGTGCCCCGACCGGGAATCGAACTGTGACTTCCTGGTTCCTAGGTCAACGCTCAACCACTGGGCCACGCCGGCCCGGCCAGCTCTCAGATTTGGGCCTCACAGGGCTCGCCTGGCCTGCTGTCCTCCCAGCTCGCCAGCAGCCCGCGCAGCCTTATCTCCCAGGGACAGTCTTCCTCCTGCCTCCGCCCTCCGCCCACCGGCTCCGCAGCCCCTTCTTCCCCTTCTTCTCAGCATCAGCAACGCGCTGGCGAGGCCGGGCCCTGGGCGGTTGGAGCGGAGACCCCTCCATGTGCCCCTTGTTCTGGGGGAGCCTCTATCTCTCTATCAAAGAATGTTTTTTTTTTTTACGTAGTTATTTTATTAGTGAGTCAGCTAGAACCAAAGGCAGGCGACCTGCCTAGTCTCAGCTCCGCTCACCCGCCCTGTGAGCCAAGTCGCTGTGCCCCCATTTTAGAGAGGAGAAACCAAGGCTGAGAGGCGGCTCAGATCCCAGGGCAGAGTGAGGCAGAGCGGGACCGGCCGTCCAGCCCAGGCCCCACGCCACTGACTGCCAGACCGCCAGACCAGGGCATGGGGGTGGTGAGCATTTATCCTGCACGGAGGGAACTGAGCCGACAGGCAAGGGGGACACAGGACAGGGTTGAGAGCTCCCTGGTGCATTGTCATCAGATCCCACACCCACGGGGCAAGGGAAGCAGCGATTGCCTTCCCGGGTCACAGGGTAAACTGAGGCTGGGCGAGGACAGAGGCCTGCCAGGGTCTCCCAGCGCCTGTCCCATGGCACTCGCCCTCGGCCCAGCGCTCAGCATCGCATCTCAGTCCATCGCGGTCCATGCAGCCCCCAGGGAGCCAGCCGCCTGGAGATGGGGAGGCTGCTTGCTGGGGCAAGAGGGGGGAACAATGAATCCCCCGGATCTTTGCATCTTTTCCAGAACCCGGAGGCCCGTGTCCGGCCCTAGAGAGCTTGGCGAGAGGCCGGGGGAGAACCGACCTCCTCTGGGAGCTTTGGTCTCCCCCGGGGTCCGGGCTCGGGGCCGGGGCGGCCCAGGACACAGGCCAGGGTGCTCCCAGGCTCAGGAGCTCCCACGGCACCAGAGAAACTTCCTTCTGGCCCCTGTGAGCCGAGCTTTAAAAAAAAAAAACAGGAACCAATCACCTGGTCGGTAGTTAATGAACAGCCACACCGTTCTGATTCACAGGGACCCGTCCGAGGAGGCGCCGAGAGCAGAGATTGTGAAAGAAGCCACGGTTTCTTCATAAAACAGAGCCTTGATGGTATCGGCTCCGGAAGGAGCCTCACTGTTAGCATCTCCCCAAACCCCATCCAGTGGAGGCCCTGACCCTGAATCAGAACCTCGGTCGAAAGCCCTGAAGGGGGGCCCCGCACCCCGACTTCCAGGCGGCGGAGCAGCAGGCCTGTGATTTCCGAGCCCCAGGCGTCCCCCGTGGGGCCGCGTCTGATTCTGTGACCCTGAGCTTGGCCGCCAACCTGGGCCTTGGCTGTCCCCTCTCGTAGGGACGGTTGGACTAAGGTTTCCACACTTCCCTTTGCTCTGAGATCCCACGCGCGTCGCGTCCGTTGCCCGCCAGCGCGGGGCTGCCCACCTGGACCGAGAAGCGGTCCCCGGGTTCCCCTTTTGGGAGGTTGGGTAAGACGCCGCTTTTCTCAGAGTCGCTGCCTTCGGACTTCCTTTATGTTTAAAGACGCGGCTTAAGGGGAAACACAAACAAACAAACACAACCCTTTCCATGAC